AAACACCCCATAAGCTGAAGAGGCCAGAGAGAAAGCTGTAGTAGCAAAAGCTTTCTATCACCCCACACAAAGATAAAGTATAACAGATCACCATGCTGTCCTTGTTGTACCTGCAGCCTTTTGCATTTTGAGGCAGACTTCCTCCTGAAGTGCAGCTGCTCTATGCCAGGCTACCAGGGCAGAACACCTATAACTATGGCTGACTATAGGAGGACTCACCCCATGTAGGCAAACAGCCAGCATAAACTCTTCTTGCATCAACCTCATACCAGGTACTGGTGCAGGGACACAGCTGAGGTTTCACTGGAACCTAGGAACCTCATGATGTCTGTCATTCCCTTAAGATAACCAACCTAAGTTAGACCAACCCTAACACATTCTGAGAGTCTGTTCTACCACACAGCTCACCTAGAAGCACAAAGCTAGCTTCAAGCTGCCACTGCCTCCCAGATGGGGTCACAGAACCCAGTGCCATGCTGTCCTGTATACACTCCTCCCAAAGCTTCCCTTATAGTTCCCTTTCTACCCCCTACAAAGGAGGATTTGCACTACAAGCTAGAAAGAGTGCCCAGCTCCTGGACTGCATTTACTTTTTTGTTCCTGAGGTAGGCTCTTCTTGCACAGATAGTCCCACGTTTAGTCTCCAACTGCTGAGTCTTCAGCCTCAGCTTGGTCACTTCTGATGACTGAACATAATGTGGTCCCATTTTCTGTTCAGTGACCTGGAGTTCCTCAGGATTTTCACATGTATCATAGTAAACAACTTCATCCTGTTTCTCTAAAAAGGCATTCAGTATTTTAAAACAAAACCCCAAAACCCAGAAAGCTCTAAAGTTCTTTAAAAAACTAGTGACACTAAGACATAGAAGCTGATAAGCAAGTTGTTAGAAGTACAGTTTAAACCTACTTTGAGCCCTGAAAATATTTGTGCACATATATATAACTTTACCCACCGGAGTAAAGTTACCGATGGGTTTTCTAGATCAGGTTTAAAGCCTTCACTGCTGCCATGGTTTGGCTTCCCATTTAAGATGCTGGGAATTTTTTCTGGTTACTCATACCTTTTCCTTCACTGAGTCTCTTGGCAAACTGAAAACCATTCTGAATTGCAACTAATCCATTTCTTTTACTACAAACATATATTTTTATTACATTAGACAATAAGCAATAACATTATTTATGCTGACACTATGCTGTCTACTAATGGAGACTACTGAACCCAACTAATAGACAATGCTTATATTTATAACTTGTCATAAATACATAGTTTAGACAAAAGCTAGTTAACAAAAAAGAAACCTAAGTAGAATCAAATTGCAATCGCTTCCTTTTGTTGTTAATATTGTGCACATTGCAATTCTGCATTATTCTGTTGCCATTCAATTTTAGGGCACCATCAATGATTTTTTTTTCTTTCAATGACATAATTTGTGTAAGATGTATATACAATTGCTGATTTATATTTGCAAAACATGCATATGTGCATGACAGATACAGTAAAGACTTGCTGTCTGTGTGTTCCTTTATCCATTTATCAATAAGTGTTATCACATTTGTTTCATAAGACACTGAATTGAGTTCCCGAAATGTTTTGATGTTGAGAGAGAACTTTAAATGGAACAAGAGCTGAGTAGCAGCAATGCACTCTTTTACAGGATGTGTACATCTCTATGTTTTTATGTTTTTAGGCTGTACGTGATTATTTTCTTCTTACCTTTAATCTGTCTCTTTAAGGTCTCTAATTGGGCAATGAGCAGCATTTCTTCATGTTTCAGTATCTCAAGTTGTATGTTATACAATTTCAGCTGAGTTTCATAGTACTCTATTTCCAGTTCCTCTACTACAGCTGTATTCTTTTGTTGTTCTTCAAGGTTTTCCATCTGTACATTTCCAAACAAGGAATAAAAAAGCATCAGTAATGGAGTGCGTGAGTGAGTGTGCGCACACGCACACATTCTCACCTCTTCCCCATGAAAGTTAGTTTTTGACTACATGGATGGAAACAGCAAGTGTAAGCCGACTGACTATCAAGTTGGTTCAGCTGAGGCAATATGGTCACTCCTGAGAGTGACCCACAACAAAGTGGGAGAAGTGTATAAGGTATATCTTTACCACTGCTTTTTAGCCATTCATGAACACCGGTAGTTCTGAGAGTATTGTGCAAAAAACCCCTCAAACCCAGTTTTCTCCATTAGAAATTCATATCTTGTCTTCCAAGAGAACATTCTCTGGCAACTGCAGAACTAGAAAAATGCTGACCTTGCAAGTTCTGAAGAGAACGAATGGTGAGCAATTACAGGATGCTTAGCTGCACTGCTTATCATTCCTGGGATGTGTGTTCAGTTTGGCTTGCTTACTTAACTATCCATTTAACATGGAGTTGCCATGTGCAGCAGCTGTTAGGACATGGTAAGGCATAGTGTCGCCTATAAATATCCTGATCTGTGACAAGTGCTTTGGTATCATGGGAACAAGTGCAACCTATACTTTGTTTAGAAAGAGAAGAGGGCTTCAAGCAGAAACTAAAGGCAGCTGATACTACCTCAAGTCACTCATTTAAAGCACACTCTATGGCATTGCATCAAGTCTTTAAAAGTCAAAAGGGAAACTTTGAATGTTAAGGGCTTGAACAGGAACTCCAGTCATGAGGGCCCATGTCACATGGCCTGTAAAATCCTCACCTATATTTGAATATGCATGTTCAGCATTTGATTTTACAAGACAGGATCAATATCTAAAAGTCTGATCCCCCCCCCCCCAAATGAAAATATAAGATGTGGCTGCACAAGCTCTATGAATTTTCTCTATGCCAACTGACCAGAAATACTGAGGTAGCAGTTGTAATTTTCAGCAATCTATTATTGGTTTAACTACTAAAAAGTTCTGGTCAGTAAAAATATTATCTGGCATGCACAGAACAGAACCACAAACATTAAAGGAACAGAATACTGTGTCCACGTAACTTTCATTTTTTCTTTTATGATAAAGCTACCATTAATAACAGCTCTCCATTATGCCAAAGTCAAATACAAAGGTGTTTTTATAGAAGCAAAAATACACAGCTGTTAATTCTAAGTACAGGTGGGGCATTGTACTATGCACAAAAAATAAAAATCAGAGGATTACAGGAGCAGGTAGAATTTTGATCTTTTTCAAATTTTGCTAATTGTAAAAATGTCTGTTTCTTGATACTGTCCTCTTCTTCTCCCCCAAAGACATGCTTTCTTGAGTAGAGGAAGTAAAGAATTTTAGGTATGTATTCTTCCATAATTTCAGAACTAATTTTGAAAACCAGGGAGTTTTTTGTTTCAAAACTGTTGTTGGGAAACAAAATAATTCGGCACATTTGATCAACTCTGTGATTTAGCACGTGCTCAAGTACTTTGCTGAAAGAGGGCCTTTTAAGTCTGAATCCATTAACAACAGGGTCTAAAAGACTCTTGTTGACTGGATCAAGTCTTTAGCATGGTAGAAAAAAGGACAAGAACCACATTTTGCTACAGTCTTACTTTTTTCCGAATGCCAGCTCTCTTCTGCTTCAGACACAATTCTTTTGCTCTCCTGTGCTGAAGTGTCTCTTTAGCTAACATGTACTTCAGGTTTTCTTGCCTTGGAGAAGCTGATGCCCAGCTGGCTTGGCCAAATCTCAGCTGATCTTGCTCCATCTGCTTGTTCATTGCTGCCAAATTAAAGAGTTTCAACAAGATATAAATGCGGCTGTACTGATAGCCCCCGTTTGTGCCTATGGAAAATGAAGTACTGAAGAACTCTGGGGTGGGGGGAGTAAGAGTACTACTTTTATACACATACTGACTGTATATAGATTTTTAAACAACAGGACTAGAAAGGCTGAAATCAGAGTGCTATAAAGTCAAACTAGTTCTGCCAGGTGCCTATTAAATACTCCATTAAATCCTTAACATTTTACATGCTAACAGTTAGTCTTCTGCAGTAAGGGTCAGCGATTTCATAGGGTGGTATCTGGATCAACTGTGTAATTGGGATAGAACTGGACAAGCTTTTAAATGCAAGACATTCTGAATTTGAACACAAGACATTTGAAATTCAAAAGCTCGTCCAGTTCTCTCCTAACTACACAGTTGGTCCAATAAAAGATGCCATTCTAAGAAATCCTTGCTTCTGTAAGACTGACATCAGTCTTACACTATCATAATGTTAAAGGGGGGGGAAATATAAATCCAGTAATAAAAATATTTGCTGAGGTTTGTAAGGCCCAAACCTTGGTCCTGTCTACACAGCATCTGCTCTTTAGCTATAGGTGACTTTTAAACCTATTTACACTGATGCAATTCTGGGCGCAGACACTCTTTTAACATATGCTGGGGGTTCCTCCTAGCCCCATGATATGCAGTGGTGTAATTCCAATGACAATATAAAGGTTTTTTTCTTACCTGAGCTGCAGTCTTATTTTCAGCAGTGCTGCTTAGGAGTATGTATGGCCTTAGAGTCAATTCTTCAAAAGTTACTTGGCTTACCTGTCAGGGCTTTCACAGTTTCTTCAAAATAGTTCACAGTGATGTCCTGAATAGAGCACACTGCTTCTGCAGCCTGCTTAGTCCATTTTGCAACTTCTTTCTGTAGTGCTTCTATTCTTTTAGGGCCCAGGTTATCAAACTGCAAGGACTTCTATGAAGAGATATGTTGTGCAATTAATCACTGATCATTATCATAATGTAGTTTAACCAAAACAATGCCATATAGACAGCCAATAATGGCTTTTGTGACCTCCACACTGCTTGTCACAAAACGAGTAAAAAATGACACTGCTGCACATTCATTTAGTCAATGTGGTATCAGGAGCAGAGGAGAAAAACTGCTCACTAGGGTGCCCCAGAGGAGGACAAAGAGAGCAATGGCCATAAACTGTTAAGAGGATGGTTTGGGGTTGGATGTAAAGAACTTATTTACGGTAAGGATGGCCAGAATATGGAACAGACTTCCTAAGGAGGTGGTGCAGTCTCCAACCTTGGAAAGCCTACAAGAGGAGACTGGACAGACACTTTGCTGGTATCAGTTGATCTCAACAGTATTCTGGCCCAGAGCATGGGGGTTGGACTCAACCTTTCAAGGCTCCTTCCAGCCCTTAGTTTCTATGATTCTACAATCATGACTTGAGCATTTCCACTGAGAAACAATGGATTCAATTATTTCTTAGGGTGGCACTAAACGGTCATCTTAAAAAATCACTTTGAGTTCAAAAAGTTTTCCCTGCTAATAAAAGTAACTCATGTACATTCTGTTCTCTGTGGTTTATACCATGCATTTGACAGCACTACACAGTCAATTTTTCCTCTGTGCAATAGCAGGGTTTTCACAATAGCAGAGTTTAAAAAAAAAAGATTTAGGCAGCAAGTTAGCACACTTGTAACATATACAAAAATTGGCAGGGAGCACAAAAGTGCAGTGTCTGAAAACACTACTACTTGGTTTTTTTAAAGAGATGATTTGAAATATAGAGTACAATCTTCCTTTGCAGATTTCAATTTAAAAAGAATAGAAATTTCTGAGTTAGGTTTGTTATCCCTACTCTGCACTTATCACATCATAAATAAAAGAGCACACTAGGTTACTTTTCCATGCATTTGTAAATTCAGTATCCAAGACAATTAATTATGCTAAGTTAACAATGCTGTTTCATCCTTAATTCAGAATTATTCTGCTTCTGTTCATTTTATCTGAGACATTAGTTTTAAAGATTATACAGTGAAATGTTAAAAATCAAAGCAATCCATGATAGTGTTCCTTAACTACAGTGGCATAATATCAGGGTCAATCTGATGCAACACAGAAAATATTGACATTGGATGAGCTTTTCCATGTGACATAGAAGCACAAATCCCTCAGAAAGTTAATGCGTCTCATGTTCATAAGTGGCTCAGGTCCCTATGAACAGAGAATGAATACCAGGGGGAAAAATGCCAGAGAGCAGAACAGGCTGAGGAACTGGATGGAGAAAATGAAAAAAGATGTTAGTGAAAAGCCAACTGAAAACATTGGCTGAGTTTCTATTCAGCTGTATACTACATAGATTCTACACATCCTCTAAGGATAGATCAGCTTTAGCTTTGAATTCTTCAGGGTTTTATCAAGTCAATCAAGTTATGTGGGCTTGGGGACAGAGGGAGTTAGGGAAGACAAAATCTGGGGGCTTAAAGATACTTAAGCAATTTTGGGGCCAAAACTGCCCAGTGGACAGGTGCAGTGCTACACCTGATTTGATTTCTGTCCTCTCAAAGGGAATACCTACCAGGATTTCCAGCTTGTACAACGTTGCCAGTTCTCTCATATCTCTAAAGGGCTGCAGTAAATATTGGTAGAATTGTGTTGCCATAGTAACTAAATCCCAGTAAGCCTCATCTTCTTCTTCATAAACCTTCATTAAAGCTACCATTGTGTCAGCATTTTTATGCCGCTGAAGAACCTAGCAGATAAAAGGTTTGAGAGTTAGTGTCAGCTGCAGTACTTGTTTCTGGGTAAAACATGATAGTCTCTCAAAGATTGCCTTCTGCATTTGTGTACATTACGACCACTGGCATACTTTAGCAGAAAGAACCTATCACTTGTTGTTACATGAAATAGCCAAGACTTCCAGTTATGAGATGTAGTTCAGGCATTGGCAACTATTCCCCAATAAGAAATATCACTAATGAGTTTCTTGAGGGCACTAACTGCTACATATCGCACGTGAAGACTGACTGCGCAATGATGCCTTGACCACTTTTTATTGTAAAAATTCTGATAGATGTGCACAGAGGATTTTGTCCACATTATAAATATGAAGATTCACAGGGTAAGCAGAAAAGATGCACTTTGGAGGTCAAATAAGGTATTCCCAAAAAGTAATTATTGCATCTTGTTCCCCTCAGGCCTACAAATTCCCCTAGTAATAAGAAATGAGCTATGATAAGCAAAGATCTGACCCTAGGCATGAACACACTGACTTTCAGACCCAGACTACTTCTCTTTTTAACTTCTAGTGCAATGTGGGGCAACTTTTTTGCAGATATGCCACAAATTATTCCTATGCCCTCCTGAGTGCTACTCTGATCCCTACTTCCTCTTCCCAATCTACTGCTCTTCTTTCTGCTTCTTGCTCTGTGCTCCTTGCCTGATCTGTTGCTTGCCACCTGTCCCCTTCCCGATCTGCTGTTTGCCACATACAGAGGCTGCTCATGTCACTTGTCACACTCATGCCTCAGATTGGCCACCCCTGTTCTAGAGTAACCTATAGTTATAACCCTAAAGATGCATGGCATTCTTATACTACAGGAACCTAATCTAACAATGCCAGTAATGTGAATTTTAACTTTTATTTCTTCCATACATATTCAAGCAGTCTCTTAATACATGTCTGTATCACACCTAATCCCTAGGGTCCCAATCTCATGAGGTTTTTGTGTCTGCAGTACATACAGGTTTTGAAAACTTGCAAAATGTAACAGTATGCTGGAGATTTTCACAGATTAGTCCCACGCTAGGGATGAGTCCATGATTTACTGATGACAGAGTTTTTTCAAATTCATCTGAGAGCAGCTAAAAGTGATAGTGGTATTTGCCAGCAAACACAAATTTTGCTTTTTATGCCAATTAAGCTGAGGTAAGCTCCATGAGAAATGAGGTAGGCTCCTGAAAGGTTGTTGGTTTGGATACTGAGATTTTACGCAGAGGAGGGAAAGAAGAAATCCTTGGGGAAAATGTGGGCCCAACTGTGTTCCTATTGAAAGCAATGAGGTGAGACCTTTGACTCTGCACTTTCCAATTTACCCTGGGGAAAAAGGGTGCTTAGAAGTTAAGTTCTGGCTAGGACAGAATACCTACAGTGCAACTTCTGTCTTCTAATTATTTTCTCACAAGCTGTGGCATGCTGGCCATGTCAGAAGCAGACCTGATATTACAGAAAGTGCTATGGCCCACAGGGGATAGAGTCCCTGGAGGCTGCTCTAACTTAAGGAGGAGGATAGGTTTGCACCTTACAGACTGATGAAAACAGAGATAGCTAAGCTTTCTTAAGCAGTAACTTGCTTCATCAAATGCTCTGAGGGTCATCATAGCATCTGATAAAAACAAGCTGCGGCTTACAAAAGCTTTAGGCATTTCTAATGTCAGTAGCCTGTAAGGTACAAATCTATCCTGCCTTTCCCTGACATCAGACTCACAGGTAACTCTACCTCTCTCTGCCATAACTTAGGCAAGCCTCCCAAGGGACACACTGCAGTGAGAAGCTTGGATTTTTCCCCCCTGTTATTTGAGCCAAGTGAAAAAATGTATGTCATGAAAAAAAACCCTTTGGTTTTCCTTTCTGGTTTTCATGCACAATCCCAATGCATTTATATTTGGGGAAGGTAATGGAAGCAAAAATTTCTCCCCAATCATTTTTTTTACTCAGCTTAGATTTTGCAAGCCTCTCACTGCGACACTTCACTTTCTAGAAGTCTAGCTCACCACCAACTATACTGCTACTACTGGTATTGCTGGGGTTTTTTCCAGTGAACTTGACTTAGGAAAATCGTATTATTTCACGTTGGTGTTGTCCTTCCCTCTGATAGGCTGAGGTATCTGGGAAGGCAAAGCAGAATATTTTCATTTACTATATGGCTATATAGGAAGAGAATGCCCTTGTGTTTATACCAGTTTTGAGAGTCAAGAGCTATGGTTTTATAGTTGCCTCACTTCAGAATTCCTATGTGACCTTGGGGAAATAAGTGAACTTTTGTGCCTCAACTACCTTGCCTCTAAGATGCAGGTGGCCACCTCATGGGCATTACTTCATCAACATTTGCAAGGCCTGAAGATACAAGAGTAATTATTTGTCAGGAGATGCTTTAGTCATGTCTCCACATTGCCGGAACTAAGCTGTTGTAAACACTTTCACCAAGCATGCTAAAAACCAAAGCTGATGTATGGTTCAGAAATACACTTCTAGGTGCTGCTGGTACCTTTTGCAAAAAGAAAAATTAACCCAAATTATGTTTCAATATGATGCCACACTTCTGACCCTGCTTATTCTAGCAATCCAGTTATAGTAGGCATTACAGTGTAACAATCAAACCTGAGTATCATGTCTAATAGACTTATCTTTTGCAATAGTGTTCTGGGAAAATCTTAAATCCTATTACAGCCTTTAAACAATGAAATGCAACAGGTTGTGTAAAGCACTAGGCCAGTGCTGACTCTCCCCCACAAAAGTACAGTAGTCCTGAAACACCTCCCATCCCCTTGTTCTGAAGTGAAATTGGTAAGTAGTAATATGAATGCAGCATAATTGATCATGCCACTAATTGTTTTTAACAAAGCAATGGACAACCTGCAGCTGTGCTCCTAAAGTGGATTCTTTACAAAGCAAAATACCTCAAGTGCTTAACCCTTACCTAATAAGGAACAGAGACGCTCAATATTTCCTTTAATTAGGAAAGAAACTTTTCTTGCTTTCATTGGTCTGCTCAGGTATCAGAAGAGGGCTTTTTTTGGTATAGGAAGAAAGACCTCATCATTTGATAATACACTTAGGCCAGAATTTTGCATTAGATAGAAAAAGATTGTTGCACCGCCTCAAATCAAGCATTTGCCATGTTCAGGGCCAGTGAGGCACTTAACTATAAAACCTTGCCTGATACACATGCACCACTGTATTTTACATCAAAGACAGATTTCAGGGAAGAAGGAGATTAAATTATTACAGTATTACTGATTAAGAGTGTTATTTTGTTTTTGGCAGATGCAACACTGGATGTTCTTTTGGCATAGGTGGTTGATTTTTTTGTTTTGTTTTTAGCACTCTAGTCCTGGTAGTCTTAAAGCTTCAGCTAAATGCATCAAAAGACACATGTGTACTGTCTACTTGAAATCTACTTCAGTTGCATGCCTGAAGAAGTCTAAACTACTTAACCATGGTCACTTTGCTGTTTTTGGATAGATGAGGAATAAATTATCAGACAAACACTAACTCAGGGTTGTCCTGGTATCCTAGAGTGCCTTGAGATCCTCTCAAGGATGCTTTTTTTTTTTTTTTTGGGGGGGGGGGGGGTTTTTT